GACTAATATATCACAGTAAAGCAAACGTTAACTATTGGCACATGAAATTTTATTTTCAACAAAGTAGAACATCTAATCATAATTAAATAACATAAAAAAACAATCAACGAAGGATGCAGATGTGAATGTAATTCTTCTCTTTGCTTCACTCTCACATGTACACTCGTAATATAAATTAGCTTTTTTACTTTGTTCTAAGCAGTTATTCTTTATATACAAAAATTCTCCTAATAATAATGATTATTTCTCAGTTCAAATGTACTGAAAGTATGAGTCATGGATCTCTAACATCACTGAACGCGGTCAGTTTTTAAATACAGAAAAGTTTGTTATGCGTTTTTCTAAAGTTTTTCGAAAACTAGCATTTATAACATGATCATAACCTTAAATACATCGGTAATACATTGATAAACAATTTATTCATGATAATACATCTCAAATAATGAACTGATCAACTTAGGTGTAGATGTAATAAATTGTATATTATCTATGAAAGAATAATGCTTTTTTTTTGTTATGTCTTCAAAAAGTGAATGAATAAAAATTAAGATTATAATACTCTTTGTGTTCTATCGTTTAAGAGATGAAAACAATTCAAATAGGAATGTATAGAAAGAAATATCCGTAAAGTAAAGTCTACGAATTTTTTATAACTATAGGAAAATTTGCTTTGAGACAGCTTTCAAATTCTAATATAAAAGTTTCAATTTATACATGAATTTATGTTACAGACAAAATTGAAATAAATTTTTTTTTTTAATTTAAATATAAATTCTAATTTTCATTTCGATTACGAAAACATAACATGTACTTGTTATTTTTAAATAAACAGAATATTCATTTACATTATTTATATTCTATCCGAGGAAATTAAAAAAATCAAAAAAACAGCATTAAAATAATGAAGCGGACAAAAAAATTGATGTATTTCAAATTCATCGATTAAAATAGACATTTTCATTAATTTTATTGTATGATTTTGATTAAAAATGAAATTCACTTCATTTGCTTAATTAAAATGTCGCTTTTCATCAATGATTTTGAAAAACATCAATTTTTTTGTCCATTTGATCATTACAAATGCCATATTTTTTGTTTTTGATATAAAATTCATGAAAATCATGGCATTTTTTTGATTCCATGGGTAATTTATATACAGATGACTTGTTCTGCGTGAACAAAGGACATTTATTCTTCTACAACAAGGAATACATTAGCTAAAAAGTTCTTCATTGTTTTTGGTTAGAACCATAGGCGGTGGAGCTCTTAAGTTTGGGGAGACTGAACGTAGTCTATGTTTTCTTCAGAGACAGCCTCCGGCAGTATAACGAAAAATTGAATAAATGCTTTTTTTTTTGTTATGAAGTGAAAATTTGAACGCTTTCGATGACAATCACTATCACAAATTCTAAGACAAGCCTACAGTTATGTTGAACAAAAAATACAAAGATTGAGTGTATGGACAAGAAATTTGGCAATATTGCAACGCTAGATAGGCTAAGAAATCTTGCTTAAAGTCTTTTCGTACAGTAAACAAAAACTTTGCTGAGCAGCTTTCATATCTTTCAAGGCTGAAATAATCGTATTTTTTGTCGAAACGTGACCAGGATTTGATAGACATTTTAGTTTATTTTTTGTTCGACAGTCTAGTGTAAAGGTTCTAGTTGACATGGAATAAAAAAGTGATTAAAAGTATTCCTAAATCCGTAGAGGATCTAGGATTTTGGAAGGGAAACGGACGGTTATAGGCAGAACACACTTTCTAGTCTCATTTAAAGTAATGTAAACTCGTTTTTGCTTGGAAAAATTTCTTGAAGATGGAAGATTGTTTCTTTTTTCTCTCGTTAACATTTGAAAATTTTTCCTCTAAATTGACTTTGCTCCACTAGTTATGGTTGAAATCAAACTCAATAAAACTTAATTCGATTGTCTAGAATAATCATTGATATGTAATTTTTAATATTGTTAAAAACTTTCATATCCGTTTCTGACTTCTTCAATTATATGTAGTCAATGGGCAGTTGACACTTTCATATGTCGAAAAATTTATTTGATCAAAAAAAAAATCATTTTTGTCAATATTATATTCATCCCAAATATCTTGTACTCAAGAGTTTGATAAAATAATTGGTTATTTCTTCTCTATCGATTCATAATGAACATAAAATAATAATTAAAACTTACATTTGCCATAGAATCTTTATTTCCTGTTTTTGTTCGGTGCTCAATCGTTGATTTCTAAAAAAAACATAAAATAATTTTATATGAGAACAATAAAAAAAAAAAAAAAAAAGAATCAATAGTACATCTTGTAAGCTATACCTACATTACTCGCATGATCTGACCAAAGAGACGCAGATTGAGATCGGACATCATCCTTGAACTGAAGGTTCATGATTAACTAATACAACATATTTCTGTTGTTTAATAAAACAAGAAAATAAAATGCAATTTGTACGGCTCTCGAATACCTTTTTTGTATTCCTTTTCAATCACTCTATGTTCGATGACAGACTGTTTGTTCTTTTATGTAAACAGGATAAATTCTTCAGGCAAAACAATGTTTTATTACATTTACTTTTGTCTTTTCTTGTTCTTCTTATAAAAACACGTGAATGTTTTGTTAGATGGCATATCTGACCTCGTTGTTAATTAAATCAAAAAAATACTGCTCACCTCATTTTTTTTTTCTACAAATACACAGACACATAGAATAAAGAAAAAACAACACTTGTGATGAAATAACTATTTGTTAAAGAAAAAATTTTTCACTAACCATATTTAATGATGTTATACTAGGTAGAAAAAATAATGTTTGATTATGTGAATAACCAACATTTAGTGTTGTTGGTCGAGATATATGTGGAAATTTTTTATTGTATTGATTACTAGAAAGTAAAAAGTTTTCGTTGACTAATAAATGAATACGTTGATATTGTCTTAAATAATCTTGACGATTATATTGAAATTGTTGAATATATAACATCTGTATTGTTTGATTGTTCGTGGTATATAACTGTCGTATTAAAAATTCCTTCTGTATTTTGGTGCTTTTACTTAACAAAATAATAGTAATAAAAGAAATGCTTCTAGTAATTGAGCATGCAATTGTTTCTATTCTTCAATTTTCTGTAGATATTTTCTATAACAATAGATTCTTTTTGTTTTTCTAGAACGTTTCCATTTACTTAATTCAATCATTATTGGTTCTATGATATGTAATATAAAACGAAATGAATAGAGAAGACATGATCAATATCATGGACTACAATTTGCCTTTTAGAAAAGGCAAAATATTCAACTTTTATTTTGGATTTTTTTAGCTTCAATGAGAGATTATATCGTGAAACGTATGAATCCAATACATTAGATATTTCTGATGCACTTATGAAAAACGCCGAAGATCATATTTCTTCAATCTTTTTATGGTGACACAATAAAAATTAAAAGAAACATGTTTTTTTTTAAGATTTTTTTCTGTCTCTAATAGTTGCTTTGAGTCAGGAAAGGTCTCGAAAGATATCTAAAAAGATTCTCTACAAAATGAACAATACTACCGGTCATTTTAATAAATTAGAACTTGCCGAGTCATGATCTTCCAAGAAACAAAGGAATCTAGATTCCGAAAGCCCTTGAAATGCTATATCTTTTGAGATATTACTTACGAAGTCAAAAGATGTATACGAGATTTTAGTAGGAGCTACAGTTGTTGCACTAAGTGATAAAACCATAGAAATCAGTTAGAATGCTATTCATATTTAGCATTTTTTCGAAGCATAGAATAATATAAGAGTAAAATAAATAGGATATTTAAAATCAGCAGAAAAACCTTCATTAAATCAAATTTATGTTGGCAGAATTTATTTTTTATGAAAAACTTGCCTGTACTCTAGCACAACATTTTTTACGAAAAATTTGACTGTGGTATCTCTCAGAGCTGGTTTTTCATTAAAGATACATTTTGCTAACACATATCTGATCTGATGTAGATTTTCTTTGCGCTGATTTCGTGTGTGCTATTTATTTTGCTCTAAAAATTAACTATAATAATGAAAATTACTAAAAATGAATGACTTTGGTACTAGTGTGAGAAAAAGTTCAATTTTCTCAACATAAAAACAAATAATTTTAAAGTTCAGAATCTGATAATCCAAAATGAGATAAGATATTTCATCCCATCTCATCTCTTCTTATGAGAAGTTAAATAAGTTAACTAAAATGACTATAAATATATACTCTGAGATAAATTTAGGTTACCTTTATTCGACCTTATTTCATCAACTTTATAAAGCGTACATTCAGCTAAATAGCATTTTTATACTCCATTTTTGATGCTGATCATGAATCTGAAGTCATAGTTTTATTTGGAATAAATCTAGTCTATATAGTGACCAATGGTCAGTTAAAATGGTTATTGAGGACTATCAAAGTGTACCAATTGTGGTCTCTACTAAAATCCCGTCTACGTCTTTTTGCAGTCAGCAACGATTAGAGACAGAAAAAAATCTCAAAAAAAAGCGTTTCTTTTAGTATTTATGGTCGTACCATAAAAAATTGAAGTATTGTGATCTTCGGCATTCTTCACAAATCCATTAAAAAAACCTAATATTTTGGATTCATATGTTTTACGATATGATCTGTCATTGGAGCTGGAAAATTCGAGAAAAAAAATAGTGGCGAGCGCTCCTATGTAAATTTAGCCAGTCTTCTGGCGGACTTTCTCTTAAGAGAATGAGTATTTTACTAATTATTATAATGCTATAATGTAACGCACAAAACTTCTGAAGCACGCATTCTATTTTTAATTCATTATATATTCTTACATAGACAAATAGATCAGATATATACTTTTTATTTGGATTTTTTACGAATTATCGATAGAAGCTATTTTAATAAAATTATTATTTTTTATTTCAGATAATTATTAGAGTCTACTGGAATCGACATTTGATCAAGTTTTGCTATCAATAATTTTTGTCAGAAGATTCATTTGATTCAATTCAAATGTAATTGTAATTGAGTGGTCGAGTAGAAATATTTTCATTTTCCGATATGATATCATCCGATTGAAACGTTATATTTGCCGAATTTATTGGCTGGATATATGATGGATTTGTTAATACATCTGTATAAATTATAGTTGATGATAATTCTTTTCCGTCTGTATTCATATCATTAGATACAGATTCTATCTTATCTGTCGATATAGTTCTGTTGTTGTTTCCTTCATTAGATGTAAACATGTCTTTAATTGCCATGGATTGTTCTGGTAAAATATAACCCATAGGTTCTTTTTCAATGTCATAATTGTTAGACATCGCTAATAAAAAAGAGTGTTGATTTGCAACACCTATATTATCTCGTGTTACATCTGGCTTGTCACCACTATATGTAATAGAAGTCGGTGAAATCAATGATTCCATCGGTTCATCTTGATGAATATAATCTTCATATAATTTCGATGTGACAAAAATGTTAGCAGAAGAGTCTTTATCTTTAGTTGTTGGGATTTGTATTAATGGAATAATATCATTAATTTTCAATGGCTCATTTGATTCAAATACAGTCGGATCCATAGCCAATGTTAATATTTTACAAGCTAAAAGTTCTGCAGTAAGTGTAAGATTATCCTGAAATCTAGTTGATAAATTATTATCAACATCAGTTATCATTTCACTATGTAACAATTCATCATCTTTAATTGTTTCCATTGTTGCTGTACTCATGTCTTTTCTTGCCAATGTCGAGCTATTAAATGTTAGAGAATTTCGTTCTTCATCATCCGATATACTATTCTCCTCTGAGATGGACATTAAATGGGATTGGTCACTAGACATAAAATTGATGTCATGTATCACATCAGATAATAGACGAGCAGCCATTATTGTAGCTTCAGAATAAATTATTTCGTATATATGGTCTGTTGTTGATTCATTGACATCATCAATAGTTGTCATTTGAATGTTTGGTGTGTGTGATGATGTTATAGTTGTATTTTCAGGAAGATCAGAAGTTTTCGATGCATGATCCATGGAAGAATCCGTTATTTCAGTATAAGTATCGAAAAACTCATCGTCGGTCTCCTCTTCCAGTTCATCTATGTCAGAAACGTCCAAAGTTGGGTCTAAAAATGAATATAAACTTCCAGTGTCGTCGGAGAACTGCGTCGGAGAACCAATTGCACGTAAATTTTGTTCCACTTCTATCTCGTTTTCAGTAATTGTAGCAGTCATTTGTGACGCTTCAGTTGGAATATATTTCACATGAGGTTCATCAATAATGTCTGTAAGAGAAAACTCTTTAGGAACGTTTGGAATCGTTTTGATGTTACCTGTTTCTGCTATCTTGAGGGTAGTTGAGCTGGAAGATTTAGAGTCTTGTAATGTATCTGACGCTGTGGAAGCGAGAGATAGATCAGAATCCGTTACTGGCTCATATGACTGTCCACTATCTTTGATTGTTTGCATTGTAGTATCGAATGATGGCAATGTTTGAAGGTGAAACGTTTCTTCCTTCTTTGGTGTAGGAGTCGTTGTTTCAGGTTCAACAATTGTCTGCCCTGCATCTAACAATTGTGATTGCTCATATTCCAGAACTTCCTCTGGCTTCACTTCTTCGAGGGCTAGCGTTGCTTTGGTTGCAAGCATTGTATTGTCGAGCAATGACATTGTTGGGAGATGAGGTTGTGCTTCGTTCTCCGGTATATCAGTTGTGGTTTCAGGTTGAAAACTTGTTTCTTCTGCATTCAGCAAATCCGATTGTAAGTGTATCATAGTTTCGTCTAGGTTTCGTTGATCGAATCCTACAGGTCCTGTGATGATATTCGTTGGAATATCATCATTCATTTCGAGTGCAGATATATCGATAATCGGTGAGTTTCCAACCATTCTTGCAACGTCGAAAGTTTTCTCCTTATCGAGAACAACAGATTTCGCTTCCGGCGAGAAAATATTTTCAATGGCCATTGGCGTCACTTTTGATGTAGCCTGTGTTCTGTTGTCTCCACCCTCATCCTCAGGTTCCGCTGCGGGTACTGATATTATTGTCACAGGAAGTGTTTTCGCAATTATTGTTTCACCGATAGGTTTGGATTCAATAGACACAGCAGGTTTCGTTTCGGATATGGATACATCTACAGTTGGGACTAATGCACCTGTTGTTGTATTTTCCAAAAGTTTTTCCATATCCACACCATCGTGCTTCCTTTCTGGTTCAGCTATATTGTCAATTAGAATCTCTGTGACTTTTGTTTCAGCTTCGATAGGTTTCTCTCTATCTATGATATCGGTCTTCGTCTCTGGAGCTGTATGATGTCGTACAGGCAGAGTTTCAACTCCTCTTATCGAGGCTAGAGGTGCCTGCCTCTCCATGACATCAATCTTCGGTATTGCAGCTGGCCAATCTGCTTCCTGCGCTGTTCTACTTTCCGGTGCACATTCGACAAACGTTCCTTCCTTGCTCGCATCATTGTTTCTTTCCAATGCGGTATGAAATCGTACAGGTAAAGTTTCAAATTCTCTTCTCGCGACTGCAGGTGTCTGCCTCTCCAAGACATCAATCTTTGTAACTGTTTCCGGCCAATCTGTCTCCAGCACTGTTATATCTTTTGATTTATATTCTATAGGCTTACGTTCCTTGATAAAATCAGTCTTCGTTTCCAGCGCAATCAAATCTCGCACAATTTTTGCTAATTCGTCCACTGTAGTTTTCAGAGGTTTCTGTTCCGCCGTGACATCGGCCTTCGTTTCCACTGCAGTAACATCTGGCGCCAGTACTGTTATACCTTCGAGCGTCGTTGCATCAGGTTTCTGTTCCTCGGTGATATCCATCTTTGTTCCTAGCGTGCCGAGATCTGGCACGAGTTCTGTTATGACTTCCACTGTGGTTATTTCAGGTTTCTCTTCCTCGGTGACAGTAATATACTTTTGTGATTCAGCCATATCTGGTACCAGTGCTGTTACGTCTTGCAGTGTGGTTTCCAGCGGTGTGTATTCATCGATGACATAGGTCTTTGTTT